AATTTTTTATTCACTGCAATAAAAGTGGCTTCAGACTGCTGTTAGATGTCACTTCTGGTGTTTGCTAACTTTTTGGACTTGTGTGTAGGTTAGGAATGTTGAGAATGTGGGTATCAGACAGGTGCCCTAACCTTCCCAATGAAGCTGTCTCCTCAAAGCACTGGACAGCTGGGTTGATGACATAGCCATTTCTCATTTTTATCTGGTGACTAAACTGTGGTCTACTAAGCCGAACTAAACAACTGTATACTACTCTTCACCCCATAGTTGGTTTCCCTAGCCCCATTCTGGGTTAGGTTGCTGCTGACTAAAGCCATGTGCAGGAGACTGAACAAAAATTTAGAATTCCAAGTTTGATGTTTATGCCGAGAGACAGGTGTCTTTTCACTATTAATAATACATTATTCATATATTATGTCCTATATGGGACATTTAAAAAAGTTATGATACTTATCTTTGGGTTTGTTTCATCCACAGATATTGCCATTGGATCGTCATTTTGCCTCATTATTGTCAAGTACCTTATGTACTTCTAAATGTGGCAAATGAAAATATAGTTTCTCACTGAAAGAAATGACCACATGAATTAGATTTCCAATGTGTCCCATGTGTCTCCAATGGACAAGTTCCACTGAAATATGCAACCAAATTCTTCTCTTTACACTTGACTCCCTGGATACCATCTAATGTGCATACGTATTTGTTCCCTCTGATATATTTGCTGAACTTGTTGTAACTAGTACTACTTTTCATGAAAATGTTGGAAACTGTTCTTGGACATATTTCCATTAATATATATAGGCACTTAGATATTGTCTGGTCCAATAGGGTTTCATCTTTTTTCCTCCTAGCTTTTGTGGTAATAGAGTTCTTCATTTAATCTCATTGCCTTACTAGTCAATGACCCCTTTCTTTCAAGCACCTTGGATATAAATATATTTTTTAGGAGTGCAATCTTGTGCAAATTATGTGTAATCTTTTTGTGATTTGATTTCGTTATTGATAAAATGAGAGTGATAACAGTACTTCATCAGATTATCATGGGTAAATTAATTAATATATGTAAATGCTTAGAACAACAACCCTTCATGTTAGAACTATATTTATTTGGTCAATTGCAATCATTGGTTGGTTATGGATACAAAATCAACGAAAGCATTCTGTGAGTGTTAATTGACTGTATGGAATTTACAATAAAGCATGCTGCATTTATTATGTGAAAATTATGTGCTTCACATCCTTTATGTTAGTAAATTTTATGATAAGCTTATGTACAGATACATATGCACACAAATTTTTTGTTTTAAACGTTTACCATTTGGTAACACTGCCTCCACTTTTGTCCCTCAAGCTTATGGAAGGTCCTCTAGCATATGGATAGTGTCTGGATGTAGCTTGTAGCAGATGCTGTTGATATTCTACCCAGATCTCCTTTACTGGGCCAGTGCATCCATCTCCCAGCTGCTCTGGGTATTGGCTACTAATGACTCACACCTGTACTCTTCTTTAGAAGACTGCCCTTGGCTGACAGTAATTGCCCCAACCAAATATGTTTGGAAGATTATGAGATCAGACCCCCAACTCCTTCTGTTTCCCAAGGGTGGCTCATAGCCAATGACTACATAGGAATATAACAGCTCAGCCCTCTTGCCTTTGGAGTAGATAACTTCTGTGGTTCAGTCCATGTTCTAGAGTTCTTCATGGCATCAAGCCAAGGCTAGATTTCTGAAACTATATCTTTGCCTAGCTTCTTCCCCCATTCTAGCTTATTGCTTTCACTCCTGTTTTTTCCTGGCAGCACTCCATCTATTATCAGGTGTACAAGAAACACCATTTTAGGCCCTGCTTCTAGGGACCCTGACCTAAGATGCTGCTAATCTCAGTACCCCTGTTGTTTTCTTAGTTCCACCACCACTTATGCAACTAATTCTCTATATTAAATAATCTCTGGATTAAATTTCCTTTTTCTTTGTTTTCTTGTTTGGACCCTGTCTGATATGCATCAACCCTGCTCATATCTCATGTCTTCACATAGTTAACATCAAATGTCCTTGATTCTCTTATAGACCTTGTTATTTAGTATAATGATGACTATCCCTGATTTTAGGATCTGAAAATTAATTTCATAGTCTGAGTTGTTTGTACCTCCTTCCTTGGGTTGTTGTAAGAATTATATGAGCTGTTCTCTATAAAACACTTAGTACTGTATCTGGGATATAGGAAGTACTTAATAAATGGTAGCTATTTGGTTACTGATATTATTATTTTAAGAGATTTGCCCTGCCAAGTGAAGTGGTACGTGCCTGTGGTCCAAGCTACTTGGGAGGCTGAGGCAGGAGAATCACTGGAGTCCAGGAGTTTGAGTCCAGCCCTCACAACATACTGAGAACCCATCTCCCCCCGACCCCCAAAAGAGAGCTTTGCCCCACATTGGGTGAGATACTTATGTCTTATTCCTAGAGCACCTGATGAGCACCTCTTCTGTATTATAATCTTTGAGTTTTCTATTTCTCCCAGAATATATGAGCTTCTCAGTGTCATCCAGTGGTGTGTTAGCTCCCTGAAGGAGGAAAAGACCCTATATATAGCGTTTTCTTATTTCCGTAGGGAAAATAATCTCCCCCTGTCCGATTTCAAGCTACCAACATGATGCCACTGAATACAAAATTGGGGAGAGATACACACAGGTGGCCCTTGCCAGCCAGGGGACATCAACTCCAGTCCCCACTGTTTCTTTCCCTAACATTTAGCACAATATGTTGAACACAGGAGCTGGGTGTTCAGAATGATTAAAATAGAATTATTAGCTGGTTAGGACTTGCTCATATGTGGTAAATTGGTGAAATTCCTTGAAATCTGATTTTTGTTACCTAACCAACAGCACCCCATCTCTACACATTCATAACAAATTGCCCATCCTATTCATGAATCAAAGTAGTAAATGCAGTCAGTATGATGTAATGGGAAATGCCCATGCCATCCCTGGACAGGTTATCTACTAACTTAGATGCAAAGCTCAATTTTGAAATTTACTATGCACATGACTTGGGGTCACTCACTTTACCTCTTTTTGCCTCAGTTTCCTCAGAGAGTTGTAATGAATAATCTCTAAAGTTCCTTCTAGTCTCAAAATGTGTAACGCCTAATTAGTATATATTTTATTCTCTCATTTTATTCTTTCCTGTATTGATCTTTTGAGTTATACATTATGCCAGATATTGGAAATACGAAGAGGAATAAGTCGTGCTCTGGCCAATGAGGATCTCAATGTACTTTATTTGTTTATTTATTTTTTGAGTTGAAGTCTTACCCTGTTGCCCAGGCTGGAGTGCAGTGGCATGCTCCCGGCCACCACAGCCTTGACCTGCTGGGCTCAGGCTTCCAAGTAGTGGAAACTACAGGTGTACGCCACCACGCCCAGCTAGTTTTTTGATTTATTGTAGAGACGAGGTCTCACTAAGTTGCCCAGCCTGGCTTCAAACCCCTGGACTCAGGCAATCCTCTCATTTCGGCCTCCCGAAGTGCTGGGATTACAGGCTGGAGCCACCGAGCCCAGCCTCAATGTGTTTTTGTAAGCATCTCACTCATCTCATTGAGACCATGATGTGCGCTTTTGGCATGTTGTTCTTTCCCATGGGTTATGAACCCAAATTGATTTATACAAACGTACCAAAGGCAAAAATTTTATTTGTTCAAAATGTTAGCACTTTGATGCATTAGAGTTACTGTGTTAATAACTCTCTAGATGAAGTTAAACAAGGCTGTCCCAATCAGCAAGCAGTTCTATTAAAAAGTATCACCGACTGAGCGCAGTGGCTCAAGCCAGTATTTCCCGCACTTTGGGAAGCTGAGGTGAGGGGATTGCCTGAGCCCACGGGTTTGAGAACTGCCTGGGCAACATGGCGAGACCTCATCTTTACAATAAATTAAAAAATTAGCCAGGCGTGGTAGTGCGTGCCTATAGTTCCGGTTACTTGGAAGGCTGAGGCAGAAGGTTTATGCCAGAGCCCAGCTAGTCGATGCCGGAGCCCAGCAGGTCAATGCTGGGGTGGCCATGTGTGTGCCACTGCACTCCCGCCTGGGCGGCGGAGTGAGACTCCAACTCAAAAAATAAAACAAACAAACAAACAAAAAGTATCACCAATCTAGTGTTAATGGTATCGAAGCCGGCTCGGTGGCTCAGCCTGTAATCCCGCGCCTTTGGGAGACTGGATGAGTGGATTGCCTGAGCCCGCCTGGGATGTGTGATTGGGTGAGTGGATTGCCTGAGCCCGCCTGGGCGGCAAGACCTCATCTCTATAATAAATCAAGAAATCAGCCGGGCGTGGTAGCGCATTCTGGCTGTAATTCCGGCTACTTGGAAGGCTGAGGCAGAAGGATCGCCAGAGCCCAGCAGGTCGAGGCTGCGGTGGCCAGGAGTGGCCACTGCACTCCAGTCTGGGCGACAGAGTGAGACTCCAACTCAAAAAAAAAAATGGTATGGAAAGAAGCTTTAGTGGACATCTAAGTCACACTGCTCCCTGAGTTAGGTTCAGACTTGATTTGTGGAGAGTGTAGTTCATTTAGGACTATTAAGCAAAGTCTGAAAATGTATTTTCACTTCCGTTTAAGTCCAGAAAGTATTCATCCTGCTTCTCTCTTAGACATTTTGATGTGAAAGTCATGAAGAATGGGCTGGGCTCAGTGGCTCAGCCTGTATTCCCAGCACTTTGGGAGGCCGAGGCAAGTGGATTGCCCATGGGTTCAAGACCAGCTCAGGCAATTTTATGAGACTTCATCTCTACAATAAACCAAAAAATTAACCAGGCATGGTAGCACACGCCTATAGTTCCAGCTGCTTGGAAGGATTGCCGAAGCCCAGCAGGTCGACGCTTGGGTGGCCATGAGTGTGCCACACACTCCTGCCTGGGCAATCGAGTGAGACTCCAACTCATAAAAAAGAAAAAAGAAAGTCATGAAGAATGATGTTTTTAAAAGGAAATTTCTTTTGTTTTTAACAGGGGCTGATACTATCCGGAAATACTGGAGCCGCTACTACCAAGGATCTCAAGGGGTAATATTTGTATTAGACAGTGCCTCTTCAGAGGATGATTTAGAAACTGCTAGAAATGAACTGCACTCAGCTCTTCAGCACCCACAGTTATGCACTTTACCCTTTTTAATATTGGCCAATCATCAAGACAAGCCAGCAGCTCGCTCAGTTCAAGAGGTATGTCTCATTAACGTGACAACTCTTTGTCTACCTTGTTGTGCTTTTGCTGCTACATTGGCATCTAGGAAGATGCATTTAAGTAGGAATATTCTGGTTATGCTGTTTTCAACATGAAACCTTTGTTTTCTTAGGAAGCAGAAAGCCTATATCAATCTGATAGCACTTGTTTACATACTTAACCCTACTTGGAGAGCACATATTGTTTTTTAGCTGTTTAGCAAAAGCTAGACGATGTTTCTGGTGATTTTTCTCTTCTATTTTGAATGACTAAAGACCTGGTTATTTAACACTTTTTGAACCTGCTGAGTTTGTTTATTCTCTTCTTCTCTAGCTTTTCAAGAAATGCACCGTGCATATTACCATGTGTGTTCTTTACTCTCTGAAATGCTCACTGATGACTAGGAGCAAGGGTCCTATTTCCTAATCGGCCAGGTTGAAAATTGATCTTATCTTGCAAGTTCCATGCTACAAAATAACATTTTAACACAGACCCACTGCTTATCTTCCTTGTTTAATTTCATTTCTTAGTTTGTATCTATCCTATAAAAGCGTGAGACTTAATTCTTTTGATTCATGGTACTAAAGTAATGGGATATGTGAATAGTTTTTCAAACTTAAATTATAGCAAATTATAATATAAATACAGTGAAATCAAAACTCTTGATCTATTCCTTTACAAGTGTAACTTTCAGGATATGTTTTCCCCTCTCCTTCAAAAATTGTGTGCTTCTTTAATGACTTTGGAATAAATAAGATGATAATAGGAACGATATTATCCTTTAGTTGGAAAAATAGTGTGTGACCCATGCAAATAGTCTTGTTCCTGTGACTGACTTCTCACCTGAAAAATGAGAATAATGCAATTTATTATGATAAGTGAATGGGATTAATTTGGATAATTTACTTTGAAATTTAAAGTACTAAGTGGGAGAGGAACCCATAGAGAGAGTTTTTACTGAAGTTTTAGAAAATAGTAAAGAAAGCAAGGATTTGTTATTAAACAAACAGCGCTCATGCCTGTTTTTAGTTGCCTCATTCAGCATTAAGTAATTATCAGCTTGTTTCTTTGTACATATTGGAAAATACTTTATGGATTATAAATATTAAATAAGTAAGTAAAAAAGAGCAATACAAATTTATTCAGAAAGTAATGAATGTACAGATCTTCAGCATTATAATTGTAGTGCCTCCTGATCTGTTCTTAAAACCTTAAGTAAATTTTTCTTAACTTCTCAGCATCAGTTTTTCAGTCTGTAGAATGGATATAATAGTATGTAAAGATAGGTAGTATGAGTGTTAAATCAGATAATAAATATAAGGTCCTTTGCTGAAAATTCATTATTGTGATATTCATTGTGGAAAGTATGGTAAAATATATGTGTATTACAGAATACCTGTAGACAATATAATGTATATATAATATATATACTATATACAGGTATTAATACAGCATATAAGACAGATATAAGTGCCATAACTTCAAATCACTTTCTTAAAGTTACGTGCAATATCTGAAAGAGATTTCCTTTTCTTTTTGCCCTTAAAGTTAAGAAGCTGTTTAGTTATTTTCCTTAGACATCATATAATTGAAAATAATGTATTTTTTAAGCCTAACATATGACTCATGGTAACCCTCCATGGTAATTAAAGACTGTCACATTGAATAAAGGAATCTTCTAGCAATTAATTGCTTCTGAGTATTCCTTGTGTGTATTGGCTGGCTGTCTCTCCCAGGTAAAGGGCAAATATCTTTCCCCCCCTTTTTGTGATTCATCTTTTAGCAAGACAGATGGCTGTAAATGTAGAGTAGTCATAGATATGGTTTGAAAATGATTCTAAACTTGTATATACTAGAGCATATGTGACTGTGACTTTCTTTTTTATTTGTATCCATTTTAAATTAACTTTTCTCCAAGTTTTGCTTGTAATGGAATTTGCATAATACCATTTTGAGGACTGCTTTAAGTAAATCATGTTCCCTATGATTGTATAAACACATACCATACAGGTGCATGTTAACATTTTAGACAGCTTTAATGGATACATGGGCAAATTCCATTATAGGTCTTGAAGTTTCTGGAAGCATAATGAAGTGCTCATAGTTACTTTGGGTTTGGCCCAAAAAGAAAAGGAAGCTTCTTAGATCTTTCTCATTTCTTGATGACAAAGAGGTTTTTCTGTATAGTGTGTAGTAATGCCTTATCTAAATATTCTCAAGAATGTTTTATGAATTAAATCAATACCTTATTGTTAGCATAAAAATAGAGTTGTGGAACTGAATCTTAAATGTTTAGTAAACAATAACCTCAAAACAGTTGGGAGCAGTCATGGGTGGAAGAGAGGGTAGAAACTTGAAAAGTGAGCCAAGTCCCTTTTTAATTGAAATACATTTAGAAGTGGTCGTATTTTTATTGTTCTTTCTTTCATAAAGGTATTCCACACTTTGTGCCCTATTGCTGATAACCATTTTTATTCATTTACACCTGCTATTTTGTATGCATTTTATGGGATTTCCATATGTTAAAAAGATGGTGTTTTGGTCTATAAATTCCTTGTGAGTTTTTACCAAAATTCCATTCTTTCAGAATCAAGTAGGGTGCCTTCAGGTTTACCAAAAAGCTCTGGCTTTGATGCAATTTAGAAAAGACAATGAGTCACAAAAGCTTATTGGTTCTTCTTTTCTCTTTGCTGAAATCTTATGCTTAATGCAGAAAACTATGCAATTATTTATCTTGTCACTAGAATAAAACTTTATGAACTCACTTATTTCTTAATGAGGATATCAGGATATTGTTGACTTCAGAAGTGGGTAGAAGCCTGTGAAATCTAAAGGAGAAAGCTGAATTATCAGTGGGATTCCAACAGAGGATAAAAATCATTAGGAAATTATATGTTTAGTCCCCTCCCCTACTATGAGAGTTGCTATGTTTGTGTGGAGCACTGATTTAAGAAATGAAGACAATGGTTAAAATTACTGTGTAATCTACAGACAGAGGGCAACATGCACAATTATTTTGTTGCTCTTTCAGAAGCAAGTAGAGTCTTGTACGTTGCATATTTTTATTTTTGTATTAATATACCTGGTAATGACCTGTGTTTAACTTGCTAGAAATTTAAGATTTAAGAACTGATAGTGGAAACATGTATTTTTAAACAAATAAGCTTTTTCTTTAAAAAAAAAAAAAAAAAGAATCTGCAAAACACTGGGAAAAAGAACACCCTTTACATACTGTCTGAAAGCCAAGCAAGTCTTGCAACAGATGTTTGTTGTATTCACTTTGGGGAGGTGTAGTTACCACAGTTTTCCAGAATTTACTCATATCAACTATTTTTTTCTATAGAAAACACATTAGAAAAATCTATAATTATGTCAAGTGGCCCATCTGATACATTAGGGAAAATTCTGGTCTAATTTAAATGATAAAGCTATAAAATGAGAGAAATCTTAAGGGTAAATAGGTTAGGTTTTTATTTGTATTGAATTGTAATTGTATCTAATTTGTTTTACAACTCCCATAGGAGAGCATACTTCAGTTCTGAAGTTATTTAATAGATCAGGAGGATTTTATGAGAAGTTACGTTGATATAATAGCCAATAAATGTAATCCTATTTTCCCTCTACACAGTTGCTGATTGTGATTCTTTTACCTCCTGGTTTTTAAAAATCTTATTTTCATTTTATTGGGTGTTACTACGTCTTGTAAAATGACACATTGTGTTAACTTGAAAGAAATAGTCTATATTTTCAGCATTCTTATCTGATTTGATATCTGTTCATATCCTTAATCCAAAGTATTTAACTTTTTCAGAAATAGTACATCAAAATTACATTAAAGTGGATATTAATTGAGGACTATGAAAACTGTGAAATAGAATTTGAATTAGAATTAGTTTGAATTACTGTGTTGGTTCCATGGCTCATTAATTGTAGCACAGGAAAATACAGCTTCTAAATTAGGGTATCCATATTAAAGTTAAAATTTGTGATCAGGCCATTTCTCAATTTTCATGCAATTGTAATTCAATTTGTTATTTTGATATGCACAGAACTTGGTGTTATATTTGAAAAGAATAAATATAAATGTGAGAAGATTATTTTAGTATTTTTATAATAATATAGTATAAGCATTGCTAGTTTTTTTTAGACCATGTTTTATTTTGGTTATAAATATTCAGTTTTTTTTAACAATACATTTAATACTTTGTCATGAAAAGTTTGTTTAGTTCTCACTTTTTAGTACATATATATCTCCTGGAAGAGGGTGCTAGCATATTTTTATTGTATTTATCATTTAATTATAATTACTTGTTTATAGATGATTATTTCTAAATTGTATATTCTTTTTCCTTTCTACAAAGGATCAGACAGTTTTGAAAGATTAAAATGTTGAACAGTACATGTCCTTAAATAATAAACTATAGTGTTAAATGTTATTGTTTCATAACATCAGTTCTCTTTTGGAAGCTCTATGAAGTAATGAGTATCTTCTCTGATTTTGCATGAGAGACTTCTTATTAGAAAATGCAGAGCAGTGTTTTAATTATGTAAAACACTTGGAATAATTTAATATTACTTTCTTTAAATGGAGAGAAACATGTGTGTGTATTTGTAAAATAATCATTGGACAATGTCGTATACTTTAAATCTTAAGAGTTTTCCAAGTATCTTGACCTGCCTTTTGGCAGCATTTTGGAATACTGATTGGATTTCACATGGAGCAGTGTACATACCTTTGGTGTGAGCAGTTTGAAAACTCCCTTATGGGACGTAGACTTATTTTAAAATGATATGAGAGATACAAATTATTTTTTATTCATTCCTTACAGATGTACTCTATGCTGTTACAATTAAATCTTAGGGAAACACTGAGAGGGTTTGGAAGTCAGTTTTCCACTGAATGACTCAGTTATCTCTTGTAAATGTTTACTAATCTGTAAGAAAAGCTGAATTAACAATCATTTTATTAATTACAAAGCTGTTATTATAAGTATAGTTTAAAAAGCAACTTTTAAGATGAGCGTTGAAACAGTCAGAATCTTTTATTTATTATATATTCCTTCTTTTTATATGAATTCCTTGAGAAAAGTAATTTGTATACTTGATTTCCTTGATTTGCTAGCCATCTTGATCTCACCATTCTTCTCTCTGTAAACCTGTGTTTCTTGCATCCGCTAGGCAATATGATGAGAATGTGCTTTGTCTACTGAAAATGAAATTTCCATTAACAAATATGTTGCATAGGAAAGGTTCATTTTATCAACAAAATTATTTAGGCGGGGGTAATAAAGTAATACATTTCAAAATATGATATGTTCTCTTGTAAAACTCCCATTCCTTTTTACCGTCTCCCTTTATTCAGTCACATACATAGCTTCATCTTAGGTAAAGTTTGAAAATTTGAAACCTCTTTAATTATTACTTACATTTATTTTCTACATCTAGACTTTTCATTGTCTTAGTCTCCCGCTTTTACTTCTGCAGGGCTTTTTAGAGCTTCCTAATAGTTTCTATCCCCAGATCTTCCCCTTCTCCCTATTTCTCAGACCAGAAAGAACAAACTTCCCATCTATTTTTCATCATACCTATATTCAGAGCCTTCTAATATTAAAAGTCTTCTAATTCCTTCTGGAATCAAATGGCACTCCACAGATCTTGTATGTTAATATGCTTTGTAATTGGATTCCTTGTTCTTTGCCCATTCATGCTCCTCTCCCATTCACTATTCCTATTTCCCACCTCAAGACTGTGTGTCACATCAGGAAGTCTTCCTGAATGCCCATGTCTGAGCTAGGTGCCCTTTTCTGATTTCCCCTGACTCCCTGGATTATCCAAATCATGATATTCGAATTTTGCCTAACAACTTTTCTGTCCACCCCTTACGATTTTTTTTTGATTTGGAGTCTCACTCTGTCACCCAGACTGGAGTGCAGATCTGCTGGACTCCGGCAATCCTTCCACCTCAGCTTTCCAAGTAGCTGGAACTACAGGTGTACGCTACCACGCCCGGCTAATTTTTTGGTTTATTGTAGAGATGAGGCCTCGCCAAGTTGCCCAGGCGAATCTCGAACCTGCGAGCTCAGGCAATCCACTCACCTCAGCCTCCCAAAGTGCTGGGATTACAGGCTGAGTCACTGAACCCAGCTCCTCTTACGATTTTAAGGTCCTTAAAGAATAGGAATTATGGCTTGTTTGTGTCTTTGTGTTCTTTATATAGTCACTCCTCCATATCCATGGGTTCTACATCTATGGGTTCAACCAACCTCAGATTGAAAATATTCAGAGAAAAAACTGTGTCTGTACTGAATATAAACAGACTTTTTTCTTGTCATTGTTTTATAAACAATATAGTATAACAACTATTTACATAGCATTTATAGTGTATTAGATATTGTAAGTATTCTAGAGATGATTTAAACTATATGGGAGTATGTGTATAAGTTCTATGCAAATACTATGCCATTTTATACAAGGGACTTGAGGATCCTCAGATTTTGTTATCCATGAAAAGTCCTGGAGCCGATCCTCCATGGATACCAAGGAATGACTGTATTTTGTTTGAGTGACTACCTCTGAGTCTTATAACACTTGCTTTCTTTCCTGCTGACTTCATGCCATCAACTTTATCCAGATTTTCCTATTCTCTCTTTACTCAGTCCAACTCATTTATTTTCATTCTTGAATATAAAAATTTTTCTTTTCTTCTACACCAAAGCTGACCTTTGAATATTGTTCACAACCATATTTTCCATGAGTCTTCACTGCTCTATTCATGTTAATACATAGTTTTAAAAAGCTTTAACCTGTTAATTGTCATATTTACAAATGTTTAATTTTGTGTATTTTTATGTCCTTCTGTTTGTGTCTGTCCACTTGAGAACCTTGTTTAACAGTATATCAGGTTACTATGTACTTTCCAAAATCCCCCATAGAAAGTAGCAGGGCATCTTGACTGAATAATATTCTTTTAATATTTGTTGAAATAATTGTATTTGATTTATAGAGCTTATTGTATTTGCTACCATCAAAACCTATCTTTTACTATTAATATTTAGCACATATAGATTGGTATATATGAAGCTCTATAGAAATATAACTGAGATGGTTTTAAAGTAATGAATTCAATTTAATAAACAAATTAATTAACCTTTTACTTAATAAAAATAATGTAATAAAATTACATTAGTGAAACTTAGAATTTTTTAAATTTCTTATATTTAATACTCTTTCATTGTATATATATTTTAAAATTTTATAATAATGAATTATAACTAGTAAAGTTAGGGACTGATGTTATGCAAATGATATTATTTGGTTTCATTCTGGTTTTTTTGAAGCAATATGGTTGTAATGGTGATCTTCACATTTTATATCTGTATTTAAATCTTATATTTTATAAGATTGGTATTTCGTTAATCTTCATTTAACAAAGGCAGTGACTGATCTGAGGCAAAAGTTTAAGGTACTTTTTTCTTGGCCCTTAGTTCCTTTTATTTTTTTGTTATTTTTTTTAATGCAAAAGAAAACTCAGCCACTACACATTCCATAGCTTACAAAGTTAATAAAACATTTGTCGAGTTAAATTAATTTGAAGATAGACACATAGTTAATGTCAGTAAGCGTCTTTGAAGATAAAAAGCACAATAAGCGTTAGTTATTATCATTATGATAATTATTATCATTATTATTATTACATAGTGTCTGCTTAAAAATACCCTTGGTTGCTCTGGGATGGCTGAGACTAATGAGAGGGGTTAATCTGCTGGATTTTATCCAAAACTAAGGATTTGAGACATAATACATGAGTAGTTTTTTTATTCTTAATAGATCAAAAGATATGTTTATTTATTCTTACCCCTAAAAAACGAAGAAAAAAAAAACTTTCCTATTGATTCTGTAATGCAGAAACATTAGTTTGAATGTTTTCTTATTTAATCTCTAGAAAGATATTTGAAGAGTAAATATAGTTCTTCATAAAAGTCTCTGAAAACTTAAGCATTAATTTTTAGTCAAAAACCTTTATCTCTTAGTTAACTATTTCTGAGTTGTAGAGCACTCAGAATTATAATTTTTACATATTAAAAAGAGAATGCAGCATAATTATGGGGAAAATATAAAATTTTTATTTTTACTAGAATGAGAAATTATATTTTGGGGAAGTTATAAAAATAACCTTAACTAATTACATAAATTAACACCAGTAAGAATATCTTAAGGAGGATTCTTTAGAGAGAAGACTTAGGATTAAGAAAATTCTTCACAAGATATTACAGAGATTATCATCACAAGTCACAGAGATGAAAGAAATATTGAAACATTTTAACAGGCCAATGTATGAAAGTCAAATGTACCCCCAGCCTCATAATCAGTAAGGCATTAGTGACATGTCTGAAGAAGACATTCCCTAATATTATTGCAAATTAAGTAATAAAAGACCTCAAGAGAATGAAAAGAGAAAAGGTGCCTGGAGCCAATGAATTACAATTGACAACCTAAAGGCAGTTGAAGAACCAATTGCTAGAGTGATTGCAAAGCTATTCATAATGTGCAGCAGACAGAGCACACCAGAAAGCTGGAACAATGCCTTCAGTTCAGCAATATTGCTTCAAAAGAATGGAAAGAGGGGAACGGGAAGAGCCACTGACCCTGAGACCAATTTCCAGGCAGCTGCACAAACTATATACTGTAATTAAAGGTTTTGACCAGTAATCACAGCAAAGCCAGACTACAGAAAGTCTGGGGAACCAGCAAGGTTTATAATGAGGCAGACATCCTTAACTTAAAGCATGGAAAAAGCAGGTAAGAAAACCAGTCCATTTCTGGCAGTGACTTTGAAAAGCTCTGCTGTTAGTACAAATATGAAAATCACATATTTTTGGCCACTTTCTTCTAAGAACAAAAACATGTAATGAAAGATACCTGCTTTCATCTTTCAAGATGAATAGAATACTCTGCTACTTAGAAACCAGCATTTTTTCCTTGCCACTTTATTTTTTCTTTACCTGTGAATTGCATGTGCCTTTGATGAAAACAATGAACGCACCATGTACAATGGTACATATAATAGACTAAATGTAACTTAGAAGAGGCTACTCTTTCAGTATACATAGGCTCTGACAGAAATGAACTAATCCACACCTGAGTAATTTGCCTATAAAGCCTCCTTTAGCTTTTGTTTACTAGTATCTACAATCTCTCATTCTTTTTCTTCCTTTAGCAGTATCTCTTCATGTAGAATTTTACATTCAACCATGACTCTATCATTTAAATATTCACATAGCCCTTTGAATATTTATATCTTGAGAAAAGGGTTATCTAGTAGTTTCATATGAAGGTATGTTGCAGACTTTCAATACTAGCAAGAATATGTTCAACAAGGGTCTAAGGATGAAAAACAGCATCTCATTTTTGAGGGTACCACTTAATTTTCACCTCGCTGGGCCTATTATGGTCTTTGCTATGTTTGAAATCACAGTATCTAATAGTGAAGTGGGAATTAACCTTTTTTTACTAGAAACTATAAAGTCTAAATTTATATTCATATAAACCTTTGACAACAAAAAATTTATAGATTTTTCTATTACTGGGTTATGAAGAGTCAAGTAGGGTTTCATTTTGTTGTACTTAGACTTATAATTTAACATGTCCAAGTGTCTGGATTCAGTTGTTCTAAGTACAGTGTACAGAGATTGAGTTTAGTTCATGTTATGCCTGAAGTAAGACTATGGGGTTTTAGAAGAATTCTCTGTAAAGACTGTTTAAACATTAAATAACTCCATAAAATAACTGGAATTGTTTTCATAGATGGGAAGTTAAACTAGTTGAGCCTTATGAGAAGAAAGTTCTACATATGAACTATGAAATAACTTGCAGATTGCATAGAACAATGTAATTTTAACAGGTAGAATTTATAAGACATTACTTATTTTTAGAGTATGGTTATGACTAATTATTTGTCAAGCCAAAACAAGTCTTTATTGAAAAGGGCCAGAATGGAAAATCTAGATAATTTGTATACAGTTTAGACAAGGAGAACAAAGAAATAATAATAAGTGAAAATAAGAGCTGAGCAGGGGAACCCTTAAAGAACAGCTGGTTAAAGAGTTACAATTGTTAACTGTGCTATAAAAGAAAGATATTCACTCATGCTTTTGCATATTTCATTGAAGAGAAGATTGAATAATCATTAGAGGGATCCTGAAACATAGGTCAAAAGGATCTTGAAATACTGGTATAATTTATACACTCTAAATAGTATTGTTATTACTTATTGTTATTATCATGGAAAGGCAGATCATTGTGCCCAGACAAATGCTCCAATTTTCCAAAACATGAAAGCGCAAGTTCTCTTGAAAGAACACCTATTCTTTCTTGTTATATATATATATATATACAGATTTACCTTTTATTCAGTTCTAGTATAGTTTAATTTAAAGTGGTACTTGTCAAATTTATTGAAAAGTTGTCTAAATATTTGAATTATTTAAATGTGAGTTATTTAATTTGCAGAGTCATAAATGTAGAAATATGTGTTTCTGCATGTTTTGGACAATAAAAAAGCAGGATACCAATTCTCCACATTTTTATATTAACTTTGATATTTTTCTTTAATTAAGCATAAACGTAAACATCTTACTGTTTTTTTCTCAATTAACATTGGCTTTTCAATGACTTTTTATATTACTAAGCAAATTAAGCTCATTTTCTAAGTGGAAAAAAAGGAAAACACACTTTAAGGTAAGACATGAGGTCACCAGGTTGCTTGAGCCATGTTTATTATTGTTAACCGAAATTTTTTAGTCCTGTGACTATCTCTTTTATACTTGACCAGAAGCTCTTTGTTTTCTTATGACATTATTATTTAAAACTGTATTAGCACAGTTTTCTGCTCTAGGGGAATACAGCCTTTCTTTAATGATTCTGAATGTTGTAATATCCCTTTAATTATTTAGAACGTTAGTTCTAACAGTGTAAACACAGGAAGTATGGAGTAGTTTGTTGAATTTGTACTAACTCTGAGGCCCTAGTCATTGCTTTTTGATAAAACATGCAGTAGGAATCTGTGATTTTGTATTTTCACCTTGTAAAAGTGGAATACAATAATTCTAATTCTTTTATTACTTTTTTGTATTTAGATTCTTGTTAGTCAAGTTTTTGTCATATGGGTTTTTAGACCTAGTAGTGCTAAACTGGATAAAGTATACTATTTAAAGTTATGTCATGTTTTTAAGATGTTAAAGCAATAGATATGACTATAATTCCTGTGTTTCACCAGAGTTATTTTTAGAATAGCTCTTCTCTAAATATGTATAAGTTTGGTCCATCTTCTATCAGTTAAGATTATATGATTAACATGCTGCAGAAAATGTATTTTTATCATTTCCACTTGGCTCTCCATGTAGCATCACATAATCTTTAAAATTTTAATTTTATTTTAATAATCTGAATGGGCTGGGCTCGGTGGCCTAGCCTGTAATCCCAGCACTTTGGGAGGCCAAGGTGAGAGGATTGCCTGAGCCCGTGGGTTCGAGACCCGCCTGGGCAACTTGAGGAGACCTCATCTCT